CCCCCCCCCCCTCCCAAATTGTAATTAAAGCATAAAATGGGATGAAAATTACATCCATAGTTTTCTTCACATTCAATTCAATTTTTGTAAATCAACACTGGAATGATAAGATGCATTCACTCTGCATACTGTGGGAAAGCAATGGCCTTGGCACTCTCCCAAAATTTAACAATTTCATATAACTAACAAGAAAAAGGGATTACAAACAAAAAACAAGAGCATAACACCTAAAGAAAAGTAAAACATTGAACTTTTTCAATTTCAAAACTAGATTTATCCCCGAATCAATAAATTCATCGATTTACCCAATAGATTCGATCCCTTACTGCACCACCCCCGCCCCCCCCCCATCCCCCATCTGAAAAGAGGAATCCTTGCAGCAAAGAAATACAAACAAAACAACTTCAAATGACACAAGAGAAAAAGATACGAGGTCGTGTACGGTTGTCGGCCTGAAACGCCTGTAATTACGTGTATGACGGTCGCCCATCCACCTCCCTCCTCCATGCACTCCTTCTCCTCATCCTCCCTTCCCTCCCCTCCCTCCCTGTCCATTCCCGAATACTTTTCCATTTTAATCCTCCCCCTCCTCCCCCCAAAACAAAAAACAACAAACTAACCCGCACCAGAGTGAGGTCGCCTAAAAAATCGATTTTCCAATATAGTACACGTATGTACCCACTCACATCAACCTATCCACCCTCCACCCACCTCCCACTCCCCCCTTCCCTCTCCCACTGGCCCCCAATGAGTTAAAAGGGTAGGTGGGTGGTTGGGTGGTTTGTATCCCAGGGTGGATGGTGATCAGACTCCCTCCCCCCCTCCCCCCTCCCACCCGGCCGCAATTTGGGAGGGGGTGGGAATAAAGGTGGATGGGTAGTGGTGAAATAGAAGGAACCAGAGGAAAATAGAGAGGAAGAGACATATATAACGACAGAATTTGTATTACTTTTGGAGATAGAATGAGACTTACCCTCCCCCCCTGGTCGCTCTCTCTCTCTCTCACGCATGGCCGTTTGGATAAGGGGGGTGGGGGGAGGGAGGACCAGAGAGTGAGCGGCTAGGACGAGGATTCTCGTCGATGAGAGGGCGACGGGGCCGGTGGGTCAGGAGGAGGGAGGGGGATGTAAAAGGGCGAGGGGAGAAGTAATTAATGTGCGACAGTGTCCCCTCTTTGCTTCTGGTTTCTCTTCAAATATTTCTCTCTCTCTCTCTCTCTCTTGTCTCCTCTTCCCTCGTTACCTCACTCGTACTTTACCTCGGTTTCGTTCTTTCTCTCATTCGAGTTCGGTACACCCGCCCCCCTTCCCCTGCCGTACTCCCTCTACCCCCCCGTCTAGTCCCCTGCATCCTCTCTCACTCATTTTACACAGTCCCGCTCTCTACGCTTAGCTGCCATTGTGCGGAGACGCCACTTCCGAAGCATCAAATTTAATTCCTTCGATACCGTTTAGTTTGGTTCGGTTTGAAGTCACTGAGAATTCTGAGAGAAGCCGTTTAGAGGATAGGTATGGCGAGTTGAGGTGGATTGGGAGGGAGAGAGACAGAGTTGATTCAGGGGGATTTCGGAGTTTTTGAAGTTTTAAGGGGGTACGAATGTTTTTAAAGTTTTGTAGAAATGTTTTTTTTAGGATGAAGATGTTTGTACAGGAATGTAACATGGTTGTACATTTTTAGGAGTTGTAAATTAGAGGAGTATTAGGGTTGTCGATGAGGGGAGATTTACGATGGTGGGAAAGCTTTTTTTTTGCTCTGTTATTGTTTATTGCGGGTGATTTAACTTTTGGGTTATTTATGTTGGGGTTTCGGAGGGAAATGTGAAGTGTGTTGTGGAAGTACAGGAGGTTAGAACGGTTGTAACAGTGTGACCCAAGTTACCGCTAGTTTTTAAGAAAAGTAGGGAGAGTGACGAGGTTGGGGTGATTACGAGGTTATTCCACAATTGAAGGGTTCCACTCAACTTTTTTTTTTTGCAAATCGTTGGGATATTTCGTTTCATTTGTTTTGTCATTCATTTGCGATGAACGGAACAGTTGGGTTTGGCTAATTCTGTGATGATTAATGGGTGGACGTGGGTGGGTGATAAGAATTTATAGATGAGTGATTTTTTTCTGCTCATTTGCAGGAGATACGTAGAATGGAAGCCATGGACTTGGACGGAGATGCTGTCGTTGATCTCAGTGTTAGGTGAGATGTTATTTTGTGATTGTTTTTTATGGTCTTCCTGTGTTATTCGGAATTGGTGGTAAATGGTGATTAGGGATCGAGTAAAATGCAGTTATCGTACGACAGGTGTTTAAATAAAACAACAGGTTTTACTTATCGCCATGTGGCACATTTTTTTCTTCACGTGTTGAACGTTAACACAAGTTGAGTGGAAATGAGAAGGATGTGGGAGTTTTTAATATGCTTGATTTATTCTTATTTTTACGACGTTTTCCAGTTTGTTCGATTGGATGTCATTTATGCAAGTTGAATGTTTACATTTTGAGAAAGTTTAATTATTTATTTTTTATCGGTTATAAGAGAAAACGACAAACTGTCTGATAAGTTGCATAAATTTATTGTATGTGAATGAATTTTCTCTTGATTTATTGAGTAATGTCAGTTGAGTTTTTTTAGAAAGTTTGAGAACTTATTTTTTACTTTAATTACATGAAAACATCGAATGCATTATTTTGTAATCATACCAAATTTTCCAACAATTTTACGTAATTAAAATTAACCATCTGTCATTTAAAATCACTCGAAAATTAATTTATTATTGAAAAGACAACACATTTGCTCCAAAATTCGATATCCTCTTTACCATTAAATTTACTATTGTGAAATGTGCTTATTATTACAACAATTATTTTTGAAAAATTTTTATTTTTCATTGCGAAATCCATCGAAATTGAATTTGTTTTATTCTCGGCAGTGTAAGAAGGGATTCCCCATCAGTACCATCGAATCTTTCAGTGGATAGTGGTGTTCCTCTGGACTTGGGTGTTCACTATCAGACCTCAACAGCTGAGAACAATATTCCAGAACCCAGAAATATTCAAAACTCATCGAGAGGCATTTTAGCACCTAATAAATCATCCGGGGATGACAGAAGACCCAGGCGGAACCTCCGACCAAGAACAGAAAGAAGTTACGCTGAGAGTCCTGATGAGCCTAGGCTCAATGGTTATGTAAATGGAAATACGTCGGATAGTGACGAGGGTGAGATGCCACCTCTTTTGCCGATCAAGGAATTGTCCTCCGATGAATTGGCGGAAAGGGAGAGAACCTTGAGAAAACTCAGGGAAGAACTGAGATCGGAGGAGATGAAATTAGTTTTACTGAAGAAGCTCAGGCAGTCCCAACAGCTCAAAGAAAATATTGCCGCTGTACCTAAGACAGCTAATAAATTACCACCGCCTGTTACAGTACAGCCAGCACCGCACAGGTATTTTCATAAATTTATTTATTGCAATTAAATTCTATCCATTTATTCGTTTAATACTTGATGAAGAGCCAACGGCTTAAGCCAATAATAGGTTCCAAAAATTTATAAATGGCAGATTCTCCCAAATATCGCCTTGGCTTTCGGGGTCAAAGTTTTGATTGGGCTGCAAGTTTTTCCCCTTATTGTACACGTTCTGGAGAGCTTTGTCCTAAATTTTTAACATCATAACTCTGTTAATAGTGGATAAACCTCAGATGGAAGTTTTTTCTAATTCCTTTTCAATTAAATCTGACGGCTGCAATTTCAATTTTACAAAAAAATTCAGAATTTCCCGAAGAAAATGTAAATTTCTTGGTTCCATCAGTCCTTGACCCTTAAAATCGACTTTTTTCTTCGCGTTTTCACCGAAAATTTTTAATTGGGATTCCTGATAGAAACTGAATAATTTCGTGATAACCAACAACTATTCAAGGTTTTCTTTCGAATGAAAGCACGGTTATGTGCAACGGTTAGAAAACGAATAAAAGCAATTATGCAAAATTACTTTTCGACTGTTTACAAATAATTTTATACTGTCGTCGAACATTGAATCCTTGAAATTTCCAGAAAATTGTCGATTTTTGCATTCATCTAGTGGAATTGCTCAGCTTGTATCACGAGTTCCAATTTGAAATTTTAGGTGAATGCGTGAAAAAACATGTTCTTTCGAAGGAAGAAATTTATTTTTAATTCGATGTGGTGGAACAATGAAATTCCGGATAATTTGGAGGAAAAAGTCGATTTTAAGGGTCGAGGACTGATGGAATAAAAAAATTGACATTTTTTTGGGTAATTCTGAATTTTTCCTTAAAAAAAACAATGTAGCATTTTTTGGAAAAATTGAAACTGTAGCCGTCAGATTTAATTGAAAAGGAAATGACAAAAAAATCCATCTGCGGTGTCTCCTTTATTAATAAAGCTACGAGGCTAAAAATTTAAGACAAACCTCTCTTCAATATGTACAACAAAGGGTAAAACTCGCGGCCCAATCCAAAATTTGACTCCGAAAACCAGGATGATATTTGAGAGAATCTGCCATATATTGGCGAATCAGTACAGTCAAGATGGAAATATTCGCAATTCAACTGGTATAAATATTAATTATTGAAACACTCATTGAGTTTTATAAACTGGCGAAATATTCGCTAGCGAAAGAATCGACTTACGGGATTGTTGAGGGTGGAAGGGTCAAACAATTATATGTGCAAAAAAATTTCAAATCCGAATGAGTTTGTACTTGACCTGGTAGGCGGAAAAAATGACCGAAAATGACCGGTAATTTTGTCATCTACCACACACCACATCGGCTATTTTTTCGTACTTCACTTGATGTGAAGACATTCAGACACCCCTAAATTCGCCTAAATCGAATCTTCCGTCGGCGAATCTTTCGATATTTTCAGTTCCATTTTGATTTTCATTTTGGCACGTCAAGTGCCAAATTTATTGATAATTCATTGAATCGGTTGACCAAAAAAATAGAAGAAAAGTGATGAGAATGGGTTTCCGAAAATTAATCACGAAAGTTTTTTTATTAACCATTTTTCCTGATAACACAAACGAAGTTTAGTTATGTTCTGTAATTCATCTAATGACAATTGTTGAATTATCTCTATAATGAAACTTGGTAAAAACCAAACGTCCGAGTTTAAAGATATTCGAGAAATCCTGTTGATGAAAATATTAGATTAATTTTCTTTTATCACTTTATTGCTGAGTTATGTATTGATGAAGTTTTATGGACAAGACGCTTCCTCCCCTTTTCCGCTCACTATTATTGCTTCCGAAAGATTCAATACTTTAATTTCATTTCATTCGTTCATTGAGTTCTCATTTCATTTAATTGTATCGATTGGCAAGTCCGACTTGTGATTCGTTAATTCAATATTATAGTGATGATTGCATTACGACTAGGCAACAGAGTTTTTAACACTGCCCATACAAAGCTTTTTCCATTTTTGTAATTTTAATGAAATTTGCAAGGTTCCACATTACGATGTAATTGAAATTCCACTCGCAGACTAGTATCCATTGGAAAGTAAAAAAAAAGTAATGATTTAGACCTTTTGTGATTGCCAAAAAAGATTGAATTATCCAATGACTATCTGCGATCGAATTTCGAATGGAAATATGATCATTTCCTTAATTATGTAAAGTTTTATCAATTTTTGCTTCCGAATGGAAACATTGTAATCGCTCAAAGTTAAGTTTAGGATTTCTTCATGTTATTTCGCCCCATTATAATCCAAAAAGTCCGAAAATGCAATTTTCAAATTTAAGATAAAGGCGATAGCAATAATCATTATTTTGATTTATCTGAAAATTTGCAATAATTCTGTATTTTTTGAAAATGAGAATTCCCGGGACATCTTTGGATATCTTCAAATGAATTCAATCATAGCTTATTTGTGTTGATGCCATTAAATTGAAGTTAAAAGGTGATTACGATAGCCATATTGGTTGATTTGATTTTTATGATAATTGCCCAAAATTCCGATTTTTTCATGAATTTCCCTGAAAGTGAGCTTTCTGATGGTTTCTTCAAATGTGATGGTTCAAATTCATTCAATTGTGTATAAATAACATTTTTTCAATAACATTTTATCGCAGGGCTGAAGGGAGAGATAGAACTATGAAAACGATAATTGGTTATAGTATTGAAGACAGGAACAATTCGAATAATGATGATGATAACTTTCAACTAAGTTGAAAATCCAACAAAATTAGTTAAAAAGAAATTTTATTCAATTTAATAAAATTAAATAAACACTGAATTATACATGATAGAAGGAAATGATGTGCAAAATAACTATACTATATGCAAGACAAAAACAATTTCCCACTTGTTTAAAATATTTTGTACACTTGAACGGCATGACGATCTTCGAGAAACTCATTTATTAAATATTGTCGATCAAACAGTATGAACTTGCTATTGATTTTTTTTATTCTCTGTATAAATACAATCGGATACTTAATGAGATATTGATAATTCATTTTGCAATTAAAAATGTGATTTTTGCAAATGTTTAATCAACATTTTCGTTGTTTTTTGATACTACTGTAACATTTAGAAATCAGAACAAAAAAAGTCTTGATAAACTCATCAGTTTATTTTGCAAAAATCTTCTGAAGGAATAGCTCTAGAAAAATTCATCAGAAAACGTTTCTAGTACCAAATTGCCTGTACTACTTATGAGGTCATCTGGAATTTCATTTGAACCCACTAGATTTTGGAATATTCACTAAAGAAAGGGAAACGTCGGGCGAAGTGGGACGTGTTGACAATTATTACTGTTTTGAAATCAAAAGAGCATAATTGTTTTTTTTTATTTAAGGCCCGAGTGGATTATCTTTCGAACGTTATCTCGATTGTTTTTCCATTTTCATAATGTAAAATATATCACAATTTACATTGGATTTTACATCACGCAGGAGTTCTCAAAAATTATGATTGTACAATAAAAGAAATAGAAAAAAAAAAATCATTTTCAAAGAGCGTTTTTACTGAAGAGTAAGAAATAAATCTGATAGAGAGGAAATAGTGGATGGGTAATTTATCATGGTAACTAACGATCTGGCAGCCATTGACTACTGTGATAAATGACGACCTAACAACCATTACATACATCAAATTATTAATTTGCCATTTTCTCCCTATTGGGTTTATTTCCCAATATTATTCAAAAACACTCTTAGAAAATGTTCAGGTTTTTTTTAACGTTTTTTTTTTGATTGCACAATCATAATTTTTGGTGCCTCCAGGGCTGCGTAAAACTGAATAGCAATTGGAGATCATTTCAGATTACCAAAATGAAAAAAACAATCAAGATCACGTTCGAAAGATAATCCACCCGGGTCTTAAAAACATGGTTTAATAACGGAAGAAAAATGTTGAATTTGACTCGAACGATCTCGGGTTTTTGACAATTGAAGATGATCCACTGCGCCCCACGCCTCCTATTTCACCTGAGATAAATTAATTCAATTTCCAACAGGAGAAGGAACAGTGCATCAGTCGATGTACTAAAATTGAATTAATCTCATTATTTGGTAAATGGATTTTATTGATTCACTCCAATATGCTGAAATATTTATGAGTGCATGTTCAATGAGAACTGTTTCTCTTCTGAAGATTCATCGTTTTCATACAACCTAAATGTTTAATTTCATCAGTCACAGAACCACAAAAGCTCCACCACCCCTGCTGCGAGGTCAGCCTGCACCGAGTAGAAGCAGTAGTCTCCACGCACCACCACCAGGGATGCTCCTACCTCCAAACGTTGGTAGAAGTCCAACGTCGAGTACAGGAATGCCACCAAACATGGTTATACCCCAGCCACCACATCCACGTACAAGACCACCAAGTCAGACTAATGTGCCAACGTATCATGCACCTGCTGACAGAACAGAACGTACCACCAAGGATCCAACACCTGTTCCTGCACATCAGGTGGGTTTTCATGATGAAAAAATCAAAGAAAAAGAAAAATGATAAAAACAGGGAAATAATTTGAAAATTACTGAAACTTTATTCATCGAAGTCATGTTATTTTTGTAACTTCTTCAACGAATTTTCTTTGTATAATTGGAAAGCAGCTGGTTGGACCACCAGAGCCAAAAGTAACTGCGTCAATAAACACGCCTGTCATACCGGAGCAGGTACCTCAATATGAAAAGATTGATGTCTGATTGAGAAAATTAAATTTTTAATTTTTTGATTGAATTGAAAAGGTAATTCTCTCGACGTAGAAGAGACTTTTTCTGTGACTGACAGAATAATTCTATAAAGAGAGATTTTTTTTTAACAAAAATAATATAATCATCTTGCTAAAGAAACTTTTCAAGAGAAAATTTGAAAAGACTTTTTTAGTAGCTGAAAACATTTTTCATAAGAATGGCCCTTTCTTCCTAAAATGAAAATAATCTTGTACCTTGTCTGAGTTCCTCAACAAGTAGAGATAAAAAGCTTCAACAATTGTAAGGAAATCTAAATGAATTTTTTATATGAATTCGTCTCGAGTCTGAACGATTTCGATTTTTTCCAATACACATTAATATGACAAATTCCTTTATCTCTTCTCAATTCAATCACATAAAAATTTTATCATTTCCATTTTCGTAAAATTGTTTCTGTAAAAAATCAATTGGTGAATAAATCGATAATAAATTTTGATGAAATTCAGGAGAGACAGAGGGAGGACAGTCAATCGCCGGCTCAGCGCCAAGCAGCAGCGAAATTAGCTCTAAGAAAGCAATTGGAGAAAACACTTCTTCAGATACCTCCACCGAAACCACCACCACCAGAAATGCACTTCGTACCAAATCCATCCAACACTGAGTTCATTTATCTTGTGGGTCTTGAACACGTGGTGGATTTCATCACTAAGGAGCCAGCGATACCACCACCACCTGAGCCATTTGAGTGTACACAGTGTAAGACTGATTTTACACCGGTTTGGAAATGGGAAAAACCGGCAACTAGTGGTAAAAAGGATGGACCACGTGGACAACATGCGACCTTCTTACGACCACCAGCTGGGAGAGATCCACGCGTCATTTGTGAACATTGTGTCACTACTAATGTCAAGAAAGCACTGAAGGCCGAACATACGAATCGGTAATTTGTTTTCAATTTTTTATTTCTGCTTGTTACTGAACTGGTACAACATAAGAGAGTTTCTGATAGATTATTTAGCAAATATCTTTTGAATTAGTGTATAAAGTATAAAGACAATAATCGATGAATTTATTCAGACCACTCGTTTTCGAAGGGTATTATCTAAATAATCTCTACTCTATTGAGGATCCAAATACTTTCGAACACTTAGCGGTGTTCTATTACGGCTGAAGAATGTTTTATGAGCTTTGGAACAAAGTTTTCAACTTTGTTTTGGATTGTTTGGGATCTTTGAACTTTTAAAGGATGACGTTATTGTAAATCTGTTCTGGACGTTTTGCTGGTCTCTACGAAATAAATCCAAATCCTACGGGTCCTTTTTTTATTTGATAAAAAAAGTCTTCCGCTCCGTGTTTGATTTCATAAATCGTTCAACGAGCTTTTAGCTTCAAAAGCATCACGAATTCGTTCTAGACTATCTTTATGCTATTTTTCCGTTGCAAAAAAAAATTAATTTTTTTTAGTTTAAAAAACCATTTCTAACTTTTCTTCATTACTTTCACTTGATAAAACTTGAATTGTATTTAAATTGTCTAGGAACTTTCATCTGTTAAAACATGATAACTATTTTTATGAAGAAGATATTGTCATTTGATGAAAGCTATAGAAACTCGTTAATACATTAAAGTAACGGCATCAAACTGAAAATTTTGTTCTGAAAAGGAAAGAAAAAAAAATGCGATGGCATAAAAACGTTCTCGCATAGTTAAAAGCCTCCTCAATACTCGAAAAATATTGTCCAAGTACTTTTTGGATTATTCGAACGTGACAGATTATCTAAGCAATGAAACTCATTAATTTTTATTACTTTCTCCTCAAAAATTGTTCTTTTTACGTCGAATAATCTCGCCCTAATTCCAGGAATTTTTTGATTCCATCTTCAATTTCATATATTATTCGAACCTTTGTACGCCGTCAAAGTTTAAAACTGAGTTCAGAACGCTCTGAATTCAAAGTCCGTTGCAAAAAATGCGATTTTACCATCACCTCTAAATGTAGAGCGATATTCTAAAAATTCCCGAACTTATTTTTAATAATCAAATTGTCTCAATTATTGAATTTTCTTCTAAAATCTCCCGTCCCCGTTACATCGGAGCATTAATAAAGGACTCGTTCAGCTAAGTTTTTGATAAATGTCGTGAAACGGATGTATTTTCATCTGCGAAAGAATGCTATAAATATTTCTTCTATTTTTCTAAATATTCCTGAAAGAACGATTCAGCATAAAAGTTCTCTCGTTTTGTCTCACACATTGCTACTCAATTATTCTCTTCCTCTCATTCGTTGACCCTCCACCCCATCAAGCCCCTCTTCTCGCTATATTAACATTTTACTTTCTCTCCGCAGGTTAAAAACAGCATTCGTGAAAGCCCTACAACAAGAACACGAGATGGAGCAGAAGTTGGCGCAAGCAGCGAGTCCCAGTCCGGATCCACCACCCAAACCAGTGCCCAAATCCGTCACTCCCACGAGAAGAGTGGCAACCCCCCCAGCACCTCCCCCCTCAGTGCAACAAGCGCCCCCTCCAGCGCCCACCCCACCCTCTCAAAAAATGCAAGAACATCCACTTGTGAAGCTGGCAGAGGGTGGGAAATTCACTTCCCATCATGCAGCGGCGGCAGCAGCTCTCCAGCAACAGCTCCTCCGAGAACTAGCGAAGAATCCAGTGCCAGGACTGCCACCTCATCAGCCCTTGCCAGCCCACATGATGCCACCCTTCAATCCCCTTCTTTATCCTTATCAACTTGCAATGGCACAGGCCGCTGGCGGCAAGGGCCTCGTCGAGCTCCAGCGCCAAGCTGCTGACCTTCAACGCCAGTATCTCCTTGATATGATACCCTCTCAAGCATCCCAAGGACAAACGAGTCAAGCACCATCCCGCGCCCATCCGCACAATTGGAAAACGTAACCGAGTGCATAAAACAACATTTTAACTGACGGAAAATTCCCGAATTAATTTAATGAAAATGCATGAAAGCATTTCAAAATGCATAAAAGCAATTTGAAGATTCATCATAGCAGTCGAAAATGCTCAATGATGTTTTTTTTTACTTCATCAAGGGCCCAAAATGTCGGGGGAATAGAAGGAGAAAACATTGGAAAAATTAATCGTCGAAATACCAAAGATTTTCTTCGATTGAAAAATGTGATTGGTGAAGGAAATTTCGTTTTTTCGCCGATTGTGGATGTGATCAATGTTTTATTGAGGTGTAACGCGGACTCATCGACCCTTGCAAGAACCCGAGGACAGACATTTGACTGTTATATCAATTGATTCTCCCACTGAATGAAATATTGGTGGTTGAGATGAGTGAATATGTTTTTTTCTTAACGAAATTAAGGAAAAGAAATGATAATGTTTTTAAGGCACTTTGTGGCGATCTTGCAGCCGGGTTTTGTCTCACTGGCAGCAGTACCTGTATTTTGTGTATATCTCTTTATTTTTTTTCCTCCCCCCTCCCCCTTTTTGAACTGTGAGTATTTACTAAGGTCCGCGTCGTTTTTCTGAGGTGAGACACATTTCTTTTTTTTGCGAGTCTTTTTGCGTCTCCTAAATGATGAATGTGTTGGACGGTGTGTGGAGCGAATGGGTTCCGGAGCGTGAATGGAAGAGTGATAAGGCCAAGTCATTTGTTTTTTTCATTCTCTTTAGTGATTTCTAACTTTTTCATTTTGAGAGAAAATTTCTTGTTTTTATGTATCAGATTTATTTGTCAAACCAGGATTCAAGTGGTGGATCGTATTATGCCAATTATTTAAATGATGAGTTGTTTTGGGAGAAAATTTTGACAGACTTTTTTGAAAATGTTTTTGGCATCCAAAAAGATTATTGGACATTTTCCCCTGAAACAACACGCTTGTGAGATAATGCATTAATTGAGAACTTATTTATATTTGAATCGAAGAGTTATGTTCAGTTAATGGCGTAGTTATCTCAATAATCATTGACTTTTTCAATGAGAGAATTTGAAGAGACCTTTTTTGTAGATATCTCTAGATTTTTAGCAACACCACTCATTGCAGAGATAATCACATCGTTAACGTACATATTGTATTTGATGCATGACGTTCCATCACTTCACTCCATAAATAATGCTAGGATGAGGTCGTAAACTATCTCGATTTGTAACAAAATATTTAAATCAATCAATTCTTTCATTGAGAAACTGAGCAGTGTATTTCAGGAACTTGTGTAATTCAAATTTCTTTCACTTTAATTTTTATAATTTATATTCGTTTTCTCCAAGAAGAATAAATTTATTTGTTATCACCATAATTATCCATCTCTCAAAAATAGTAACTGAAGAATGATCAACAAATTCGATCGCTGACAAACTCAAATTGTGAGAAGATAAAAAACAACAATCGTCCAACTTCACTAAAAAAATAGTTATAATAGATCTATAATCTCGATAAAATTCGTATAGAATTACATTAAACTAAAAACATAGGCATAATATCAATCTCTCTTTGTACGTCGCAATAGGTAAATTGAGCTCGAGAAAATATGAACTGAACGTTGTCAACGTATTTTACGTCATTTTAACTCTTCGGAAGTCACATAATAACAATGAAGAACTGAAGGAAAATCTCAATTATAGAATAGAAGAGAGGAGAGAGAAGTGAATTGCACGGCAGAAAATGTGTTTTTTTTTCTTTTGTTCCAAGTCACAACTAACCTGTTATCATCACAAATGGAGACAAAATTGAATGAAAAAAAAGTTGATATATTTTTTTTGGTCAATTCTTTTTCTTTTGGTCAATTTTTAGATAAAAACTTTGGCAGATCCTGAGTTCAACGTAATTCCCAGTTGAAACCCCACTGATTCGTTTCAACGACGAATTCAATGACGCAAATAAAATATATTTGTTTTACCTTGTCCTCTGGATCTGCATTGGTGCTAAGGGGCATAGAGGAAAAAGAATAAAAAATGAATAAAAACTCGAACTGAATAATTTAAATAATCCAATCAATCAATCAATGGTAAAGAAATATTTAGCAATATCCTAGGGGATTCAAAGACCTGATAAAATGTGTTATCACGTGTTCAGGAGTGACTAAAAATTGACATTTTTTCGGCTGATTGAACATTAAAAAAAATTGAAAATAATAATAAATGAGAGAGAGAGAGAGAGAGAGAGAGAGAGAGAGAGAGAGACTTAAAAATGGAAAGAAATGAATGAAAATTCATTGCTCCGAAATTCGTTCTTGGAATCTTTAACACCGTCACTGATTGAATGAAATTTATAAAGAAATATCCACCTCCTTTGCTCACCCCCACCCCCCATTCCCATCATTCTGAATCGCTAGGATTAGCAGATAAATAACTGAATGTTACAAAACAAGAAAAAATTAAAGGTAAAAAAACAAAGGTAAAGAAATAAAGCTTGTCAATGATTGTACTCGATTACTGTTGATTTATTCCGTAATGATGTTTATAGTTTAGTCATTTTTTTGGATTTATAATTTTTTTTAAATGATGCAGTGAAATTCTTTAATAATTATGAAGATATATTGAAAAAAAAAGATTTGAGGAGAAAATGTCGGGATTTATTGATGTTGCCCCTTCCAATTGATGATTAAAACAATCTCATCCTAAACGATGACATATTTCTAGTCAAATATCTGAACATGTTTGAATGTAACTATCCCCAAAATGAGTGCTTCTAGGGCAGAAAGTCCAATATTTCGTCCCTAGGCCAAAAAACTTTTGACGCAGTTGTATGATGCAGGAATAACTATTTCTGTCACCAGGCCGCAATAGTATATTATGTCATCAGGCGATAAAAGTATACTTTATAATCCGAGCCGAAGGCGAGAATTTTAATCACATGAGTTAGATTAGTATATTTCGTCACTAGGCCGAAAAAAACTTTTCTGGCGAATATGAGTTTGCAGCCCGAGCCGAAGGCGAGGACTGCAATCATATGAGCTAGAAAAGTTTTTTTTGGCCGTATGACGAACCGTATTTTTTGTTATGACGGCCGTAGGCAGAGATTCAAGGACGCGGAGCGGAGCGGAGCGTCCGTGAAGCGCTGCCTCACGGCCGGAATGACAAAAAATACTTTTATCGCCGTATGATATCCAATATTTTTCTTCACGCTGATACTTTTTCGCACGTTTCGCGTGTCTAAAACATCCGTTTTCCACAGATTGTGACGAAAAATATCGTTCGATACTCATGGGAAAGGGTTTTTTGGCCCGTGGGATTATGTCACTCATCTTCGGTTCATGCTATAAACCTCAAAAAACACTTTTCCGCACTCGTATCGAAATACGAGTATACGAGTATATTTTATTTGCGTCATTGCATATACTATTTCGATACGAGTGAGACAGAATTTTCACGAGTGTGAAGTTGGCGCCCCGAGGCGAAGTCACATTTTTTTACATTAAAGAAGGGAATTTACATAGCTTTCCACATCTCTGTGACGTCATAGGAAATGATTAGATGGGATTTGGATGAAGTAGGAGGGGAACCGGGATTATTCTCAATATGAATAATCAGAAAATTTTTACTGAAAAAATGGATAGTCCAGACTGGGGTTTGAACCCGGGACCTTCCGATTATGCATCGGGGAGGGATTTTTTACATTAGAAGGGAATTTATATATAGCATTCCACATCTTTGGGACGTCATAGGAAATGATTGGAGGGCTGCCAATCACACAATCTCGGTTTCGCCTCGGGCCGCCAACTTTACATTCGTAAAAATTCCGTCTTCTCTCGTATCGAAATATACTAATTCAACACACGGTTTAAAAAACTTTTCTGGCGAATATGAGGTTACAGCCCGAGCCGAAGGCAATGGTTACCATCATATTCGTCAGAAAAGTTTCTCTGGGCTCTATGTCGAAATGCACTATATTAGATAAATGACAAATGATATCCTTCCTCACGTCATCCGTGAAAAATACCTTTTTTGGTGCTCAAAAAATGTCTTATGAAAAAAATCTCTGCACATTTTTACCCAAAATGATACATGACCCAGAAAAAAACATTTTTAAACGGTTTAAACATTGCCTCCTCAAATCTAAAACCACTAAAATCATTCCATAATTGCTCGGTCTGTTTTACCTCGTAATTACAAAATTACTCCTCACTAATTTCTCATGCACTTCCGAAAAAAATCATTGAAATGAAATGCAAAATCACTGATCTTTAACCAGTAGAAATGCGAGAGTATCGTTAGACGATAGTGGCATGGTGGAGTGAAATTTCCAGCGTGTCAACCAGTCGAGCAGGGTCGTCAATCTTATATGGAAATTCACATTACGTAACGAGCGATATAAATCGTAAAACCTGTGCTTGCGACAGAATTTCACATGAAACTCCCCCGGAATTTGTAATGTCCCCGATAATTTTTTTTTATTCAATCCAATTTCAAACTTTCAAGCCTCCAATGGACGTTCTATCGTTGTTCGCATTGTCGTGACATCACTGGGATGCTCAAGGCATTTTTTAAAATGCTTTGAGCAGAATGGAATTAACGTGGGATGATCGCAGTTGCGACAGGCGGCTGCTAGGTGTGAGCAGCATTTTGAGCTTTCCCGACAACAGGACGCCCACATCTCTGGACCAGCAATTGCACAACTGTAGCAGTAACAATCCCCTAGAAGAAATGAAAAACTCGTGAAACCTCTCTATATAATAAAAAAAATAAGGAGGTTTAAAAATTCAAGTGACGCCCCTGATGATTCTGACCCTTATCTGTGAGCCTGATGGTGTCATTGAGAATGAATTCTTCAGGTCAAATCTTTAAAAAATAATAAGAGTATACCTCATACTATATTCTAGGTAAATAAATATAGAAAAATGAATGATCGCGACTCACGACAAAAGGCGTTGGTTGGAGCCTTTTGTATATAATGAAAAACTCAAGTTTTCAAAGGGAGTAAATCTTTCTATGATTTTTTTTATATAATATACCCAAAATATACCGAAGAAGATTGGTGGAGGGGGGGGCTAAGCCCCTCTGGAAGCGAGCAGGAGGCGAAGCCACTTAAGTTACGGAAATATTATCATTAAAATTTCGATCTTCACTTGCATAGACCGATTGACAACTCAACACAATTGTAAATCGTACAAAAGAAAATCTTCATAAAGTTAATCACTTAAGGATATCCAAGTACGTTGGCGATTTTTTCTCCATTCAAATGCTTTTCTACTTTTGTAGTCGAACATCAGAACTTTCAATTGAGCCCCATTTAACCCCAAGTTTGCGGATATTTTACAGTGATTTTATTATTTAAACTTTACGGGTTATTTAATAAATCTGAAAAAAAAGAAAGTTTACTTTTGGGGAAAGATTTATGGAATAATTTAAAAATTGAAATTTTTGAAAATTACGAGCATTTTCTATGAATAATTTATAAACCATCAATTCTCCACCATAAAACTTATTTGTTCGGAATCGTAATAAATTTCTCCATATTCAGAATTTTACCAGAAATCAATTTCATGCTTAACAAATAAGGTTTCCGAAAGTTTAAACAATTTCAATTATTTATTATAATTATAATTCTATGCAAAATAGTATTTGAATGACGTTGAATGTTCATGATTTTTTAAAAATTTATTCATGCAATTTATTCAACAAATTTGATTATTGAAAATGGTGTCTGGTCTGTACGAAATTGTAAAATATACTTGGATATCCTTATTAAGAAAATTTCTTAGAAACTCTCGAAAAACCATTCATTTTTTAGGACATTAACATCCATCCATTTTAACTTCGTTTTACAATTTATTGATTAATTTTATGTAGTGAGAAGGCAATTTCAATTGACATTTTTTTAATAGAGAATTTGATGTGCACGAGGGAGATCTTCTGACATTTCGTCCTCTGATTGATAATTGCACAATTAATTCAATTTTACTCGCGGCGAAAGAGTTCTTCTGATATTTTCCCAAAACCACCTATTGCTGGGAAATTGGCAAATCTGATCAACACATCCATTTTTATGTGAATAAAAACGAATCAATTTGAGTGTTGAACTCATTTTGATAATTATCTAATTGAGAAAGAAATGTGAATTAACTTATTTAAAACGGACTCGCTTTTGCACAAGGAGGAAACATTTTTAATTGATAATTGCACAATAATACAATTTTCAATCCGATCCGAGTAGCATTCATTTGGATTTAATGAAATCCGTGGAAAAGAAAATTAATTCCATTACGTTACGATCACAGAGACCGATTGAATAACTGGATTGATTGAATAACCGGAAAATTAAGTGTGAAAAAATGTCGTAACTCCCGTTACAAATTCCACCAGTGTCAAACAGAATTCTTTTCTCTCCATGCATTCATTTTAACTTATTTTTAAATGTGATCACTTTATAGTCACAACAAATAATTATCATGGGAGTGGCTCAATTGTCAAGGACGGAGTATTGTAGGTATGCGGAAAAACCACGGTTTTTCATAATTACCGGAAGTTACCGGTAGAATTTGTATTTTGTTGCAATTTTGCGTGCAAAAATTCTCTGTAAGAATTAAACCTCTCATTGTTATCATTATTTTTGTTTTTTGTGCATTTCTATTTTGGGTTTAACTCAGTAATGAGTAACATTAGAAAGAAATGTAGGGATTTTTTCTGAAGTCGAAACAATTTTTCAACAAGAAATGTGTTTTTGAAATTTTCTCCTAAAACCACTCATCATTTAAATTAAATATTCCACGAGATGGAGAAAATCCAATTGTTTCATTAAGTTTATGTAGTTCACTGTTGGGTTCATTAATTTTTCTCATCATTACCACTTGGACAATCAACAGATCTCCTCGCCTCAGCTCTCCTGCAATCCAGACCCTCCTCGCCTTTGGGACAAGCTGTAGTTATTCCCTCATCAATCGAATTTTCACCCAATATTTCATCAACCCTATTAAACGCTCCAGGTCGCGCAAATAGTTTCACCAATTTCTCCAACGTATTCTCCCCATTGTCCTCTATTATTCCGGTACTTTCAGAATTACCGACAAACACACTGAGGATGAGTAGACAAAACACGAGTATTAAACCGTGAAGATGCATTTCCGGTAGGCCAGTGTTTCACTGTTGCGTACGTGATTGCTACTGACGGTCATTTGTAATTCAGTTTTCAGTTTTGGAGGGGGGCTTCATTCAATCGAATGTCCCGCTCGGGGTCTACCAACAGGTGCACCAATTGCTGATTCTGTTGGTACAACTGACTTCAAAAATGAGCGCTCAGGTGAGCGATGTAAATTATTCTGCAAGTTTGAGCATATTTTAACACAGACTTAATATTTCCTTGACAAAATAACCTGTTACAACGCAATGAAGGCCCTATTAGTAAATAATGACATTCATCTGGAATTCGTACAGAATGTTTATAATCACAATTGAATTATCTATGAATTTTCCTAGAATTTTTTCAGATTTCCTTTTCAAGTTATCAACGATTTAAGCCGCTTCTTATACATGGACTCTTACAGAAATTTTTCTGTTTAGTTAGGGGAGGGTGGGGCAAAATGAAACGTTTTGTGATCTTCGCTAATTACCGATGTCTTTGTTTATAAATGAAAATATTTGAATTTGGAGAAGGTCACAAGCTGTTCCATTTTGTCCCACCTTGCCTTATATAGTTTCATGCTAAACAGAAAAATCTCGATGAGATCCCATGGACAACGCGCGACTTCAATTGTTAATGACTTGAAAAAGAAGTTCGAATTTTTTTTAGGAAAATTCATAGACAATTCAATTGTAATTATAAACATTCTATACGAATTCCAGATAAATGTCATTATTTACCTACCTTCGCACGAAACACCTTAACCCGTAAGCGCGCTCTTTTTAATATCTCACTCGCACTGCAAAGACGTCATATATGCTGACTAGCGTTGCGTGAACGAAATGCTGATAGTCAGCGTTGGGCGTGTAAATTACGTTGGTAAATTACCTCGACGGGTTTTTAGCATTTTTTACATTACTTCGAAAAGCTTGCAATTTTCGGTTACTAGAATGTTTTATTTTATTCCGACTGACGAAGACGCAGTATTGGGCACATAAATATCATAAAAAATAGTATATCATGTCCCGAGGACAGATAAACCACAAATTTTAACTTCACTTTGTTCGGTTAGAACGCGGTTCTCGGTAGTTGAGGCATAAAATATTATTTTATGTCCCTAGGACTGTAAAACCGCGATTTTAACATCGATTCCTTCGGTTAAATCGCCATTTCCGGGCCAGAGACATAAACTATTGTGTATGTCACACGGCGATTAAACAATTTAGCCCCATTTGTCAGAAAATACTATCATCGCCTGGTGACATAATGTACTATTACATCACGTGGTACGATTTACGGCATTTTAGGAAGCTCAAAAACATGAGCCTCATACCTCATAAAGAGTAAATTTCACGAGAGTCAAACGTTGCAAAAGACCAAAGTCACAAGTCATCTCCATTGTGAGAAAATCAGAGTCAATCTCATTATCTATTGAGCTTTATTGGATTCTCCACTTTATTATTTGGAGCCCCGGAAAAGCCCAGTTGACTCTGAAAAGGACCATTTTGTTCTGAAGAGTCCAAAACAGTTACCAAAGACAATTGAATTAGTTTTGTCACTTAAGAATGCTGAATGAAATAAGTTAATGTCAAGACAAAAGATGATGACGCCATGAATTCAATAGAGATCAATAAATAATGAGATTGAACCTTGTAAAATTAATCCCTTACACGGTATGAGCCTTACGAGGTGTGACACTCGAGACGTATGATCCTGGCGAGCTATGAACCTTGTGAATTTTATCACTCTCGCGAGGTACAATTTTCGCGAAGCTTCACGGTTCACGATAAAAGGTACCATCGGCTGATTTTTTACATTCTTTACATTTATTACGTAGATTACGGGTTTTTTACAATGTCATGTAAAAACTACGATTATCCTGAAATATCCTCGAAAGACAAATGTTCAGGGGAATTCATAAAAAATAATTTGTTAGAGAATTTTATAGTCTACGAACACTGTTCTTTATCATTTCTCTTTAAATCCACTAGTTCGAGAATAATTTGCCAATTATAATTCCCGCTCCACTTTCTTATTTTGTGGTGGCGAAGGCTTGTCGGTAAAAGAGGAACCATTAATCCAACAAATGAGAATTGCGGTGGATGGGGGCAAAATCCCAAAGGTGTTATGTCCTACCGATGTTACTAGGAGGACAGTAGCGCCGTTGATTTTATTTCAGCGCCAAAACTTGAATCTGGATCCGTTAGCCGCTAAACCTCTGAAGAGGACTCCATCGAAGACGACTCGTTGATAATCAGGATAATTGGATTAGGGTTAATTCGTTGAAATAAATCCAGTACACAAGTGCTTAGGAGAGCACATCAAAACTTTATTCCACTACTTCAACTTTTCTTCAACTTCACCGTGATAACATTAACTTTAGAAAACTCTATATTAATAACTTTGAACTCAAGAAAAACTAATTTGAAGAGAGAAGCTGGAGGTTCGCTATATCGAACAGCCACGGTGGGACTGACTTAATCTTAAACTTATTTCTAAGGGTTGGGTCCAACAACCCCCACTTAACGAAAAGTTGCGCACGCAAGCTTTTAACTGAAGCCAAGGCAAGAGTCAAGGCGCAAAAGAAAATAGGGAAAGGGAAAAAGGGGCAAAAGGAGCTGAGGAGAGCGTGTGACGTCACGTTCTGCGTCTTGGGAGGGTCTCAGGCCCTCAGCCTGGCAATACAATGAACAAAGGAGAGCACACGTGTTGGAATAGAGAAAATTTATGATACACAGAACGGAGATTTTATGACTCTAACTGTCATTCTGTTGAGTGAGTATTTTTCTTTCGAGATTTGGGTTTTCGGAAAATGTTTACGTGACGAATTTCAAGAGTTGTAAATAATTGAAACAAAGCTCAAGTGTTTGACATTTATGTTTTCTGTAACGGTTTTTCTCACGCCCGTGAAGTTATTTCTCTTCCCTTGTTCATTGTGCTGTGTTCTTTCTTTTATTATTTCTCATATTTTATTTTGAATTTAATTAATTATTCGATTAATTTGAATCTCGCGGACTATTACCGTTAATAAAAAGCGCCATCTATAAACTTGGACCTCAGGACATCACAAAGGGTCAAAATCCCAAACCGGAAATGAGGGAGGGGGAATGCTGAAGTAAGAAGAGGTGCCATCTAACGATCGGAGTGAAATATAGTATCGCCTTGTTCCTGCAGATGGCGGATGCAATATTAAAAGAATGTTGAAATCAAAGATTTTCTTCGTTTTGAAGGCTTCGAAAATCACGACGCGATGAGAATGCTACCGGGAGCGCCCAGTATTTTTTTTTTCACGGGAAATATTGATCAAAGAGCAAATTCATTACAACAATAATATTCCGTGGCTATCGGACGCTATCGGAACAATTTTCATTAAAAAGAAATGTTTTGCAACAGTAGCAANCCAGTAGCAAGAGTTGATCGGGCGAGAACCGCTACAATTTTTTTCATTGAAAAGAATAGATTTTCAACAAATTTTTGACAACATTTATACATGCAGTCTACCGGGTGGAACCGGTACTTTTTTCCCGAGGGAATATTATTTTTCCAACAATCTTTGACAACAATAATATAGGCAGTCTACCGGACGAAACCGGTACAGTTTTATTTTAGAAAGATATCTTTTTTTTGCATCGAAAGCTTCCATAAAAATGTAAGCCACAGTCTACCGGGTGAAACCGGTACGGTTTTTTGCCAAGGAAACCATAAATTTTCAACAACAATAATATAGACAGTCTACCGGGCGGAACCGGTACAGTTTTATTTTTTAAAAATATATTTTTTTTGCAACAAATGCTGTCATAATAATGAAACCAACAATCTACCGAGTGAAACCGGTACGGTTTTCTGCCAAGGAAACTATAAATTTCCAACAACAATAATATAGACAGTCTACCGGGCTGAACCGGCAGTTTTCTGCCAAGGAAACCGTAAGTTTTCAACAACAATGATATAGTCCAGTCGGTGGGCGTGAAAAATCGCGTTTGTCGTCGACTTTACGAGATTAGTCACCGATTTTGATGATTTTTTTTTTAAATGCTCAGGAGAGCATATAAATGAAATGTGGCCTAACGGCAAGGTGTGCTTTTTGTTTATAAACAAAACACGTATTGAATAGGCATCTTTTGATTGGAATATCTCGGAAACTATTGAGAAGTTATCGAGACATATAGCGTAAGTTATTCAGAGAATTTAACGACGAACAAAATGATTTTTTACTCATGTTTCTACGACCAATAGTTTGCGAGATATTGAAAATTGTTGTTTGGCGCGCGCTGCTGTGCGCGCGTTGCGTCATGAACA